GGAAGATCTACATTTGGAACAAGGAAGGGAAGAACGATCTATACAGTGGTACCTCGGTTTACGAACTCAATCCGTTCTGGAAGTCTGTTCGTAAACCAAAGCCGTTCTTAAACCGAGGCGTGCTTTCCCTAATGCGGCCTCCCGCTGCCGATGCCCTTCCACCATTCAGCTTCCATTCGTAGACCGTGGTAAAGTTCGCTAACTGGAACACTAATAACAATAACAATAATAATAATATAATAATAATAATAATAATAATAATAATAATAATAATAATAATAATTATTATTATTTATACCCCGCCCATCTGGCTGGGCTTCCCCAGCCACTCTGGGCGGCTTCCAAAAAAAAAATAATTAAAATACTGTACTACATCAAACATTAAAAGCCTCCCTAAACAGGGCCACCTTCAGATGTCTTCTAAAAGTCTTGTAGTTGATTTTCTCTTTGACAACTGGTGGGAGGGTGTTCCACAGGGCAGGCGCCACTACCGAGAAGGCCCTCTGCCTGGTTCCCTGTAACTTGGCTTCTCGCAGTGAGGGGACCGCCAGAAGGCCCTCGGTGCTGGACCTCAATGTCTGGGTAGAACGATGGGGGTGGAGACGCTCCTTCAGATATATCCTTCAGATATACTACTTCTGGTTTTGCGGAGTTCGTATACCGAATCGTTCGTAAGCAGGGCTGTTCTTAAACTGAGGTACCACTGTATCGAGATCTGCTGCCCATGTAGGTTTTGCCGCCTGAGGCAGCTACCTCACCTTGCCTCATGCATGGGCTGGCCCTGAATTGTGGACAAGTTTAAAGGGGTGGGTGTTCGAGGAGAAGCTGACCCAGCACAAATAACAGCTGAGCTGAAAGAGGGGTTTTTGTGGATTTCTGAGGGGATACAGACCTCTCCTCTTTCTGGCTTTCCCCTCTTCCTTCAGGAGAACTGCGGCGTGACCGTGTGCTCCGGCAAAATCTACATCCTGGGGGGCACAGACGAAAACGAGCAAGGCACAGACAAGGTGTTCTCTTTTGATGCAGAGACTGGGGTGGTGGAACCCGAGACCCCGCTCCAGCGCTGCACCAGTTGCCATGGTTGCATGACCATCCTCCGGAGCAGGACCAGGTGACCCCAGTGGTGACCCCTTCCCCTTTTCCTCCTCTACGCAACCACGGCCCATGTATAATTGCTCCTTTGAAAACTGGTCCTCGAGAGATGGCGCTCCCAATTTGTGGTTGTTTAGTCATTTAGTCGTGTCCGACTCTTTGTGACCCCCTGGACCAGAGCACGCCAGGCACTCCTGTCTTCCACTGCCTCCCGCAGTTTGGTCAAACTCATGCTAGTAGCTTCGAGAACACTGTCCAACCATCTCGTCCTCTGTCGTCCCCTTCTCCTTGTGCCCTCCATCTTTCCCAACATCAGGGTCTTTTCCAGGGAGTCTTCTCTTCTCATGAGGTGGCCAAGCATTATAGCTGACCATAAAATCATAGGTAAAGCTAAAGGACCCCTGGACGGTTAAGTCCAGTCAAAGGCGACTATGGGGTTGCGGCACTCATCTCGCTTTCAGGTCGAGGGAACCGGCGTTTGTCCACAGACAGCTTTCCAGGTCATGTGGCCAGCAGGACTAAAGCGCTTCTGGCGCAAGGGGACACCATGACGGAAACCAGAGTGCACAGAAACACCATTTACCTTCCCGCCGCAGCAGTACCTATTTATCTACTTGCACTGGTGTGCTTTCGGACTGCTAGGGAGTCTTCTCTTCTCATGAGGTGGCCAAAGTATTGGAGCCTCAGCTTCAGGATCTGTCCTTCCAGTGAGCACTCAGGGTTGATTTCCTTCAGAATGGAGAGGTTTGATCTTCTTGCAGTCCATGGGACTCTCAAGAGTCTCCTCCAGCACCAGAATTCAAAAGCAAAGATGGGCAATTTTGGTTTCTCATTCTTCCAACCTTAAGTGCAGCCCCTCTTCATTTCCACATCAGTTTGGGCATTTCATTTCCCCACCCCAGAAAATCCACACGTCTTTCTTGTGCTTAATGAGCACCATTTTGTACGCTGTTTTGCCTCTTGCACACATTTCTCCAAGCAAGTTTCCTCCGATATAGTGCAGGGCTTTTTTTGTACATTTTGAATATAAGCACTTTTTTTTGCATCTGCTCTTCCCATTGCAAAATTTGGTGCTGAATTTCAAGAGACAGCTGCCTTTCATTTTGCATACTGCTCGGAGAAGTGCCAGTTAAGATAGATTTGCATCGAAATGTGAACCGAAGGAATCTCTCTCCTCATCCCCACCTCCAAAAGACTCCAACTCCCATCGCCCATTAGCCAGGCCGATGGGGGCTGATGGGTTTTGTAGTCTAAAACAACTGGAGGGCACCAAATTGGGGAAGGCTGCCCTTATAACATAAAACCTTGGGGCTGGTATTTGGTTATCCCCCAGCCATAATTTTATCTGTTGCAAATCCCAGCAGCTGCAGAACTGGACTGCTGACCCTCTAATATCATTTTTTTTTGGGGGGTATATATCAAGAGTACCCAAAGCGCTTCCCCTTCATAATTGTTTTAACCTAACAACAGCCCTTCAAGGCAGAACCCATATGAATGATCACCATGTTGCAGACAGAGATAAGGCGGTTAAGTCTGTAGCTCATCTACAGCTACCTAGAGAGATGAGGAGGGAGGAGATATTTAAATTGTTCATGTTAAATCCTTGGCCCCAATCCTGCCCCATTTCTTCTCTGTTTTTCTCCCAATGAACCATTTGTTTCTGCTGCTGCTGCTGCGTCCCTCTGCTTCCCCCGAGGCCAATTCGTACAGATGTGCCGCCCGGTTTTAATCGCCTTCATTTTCACATTTATCGTCTGTGCACTGCTAAAGAACTCCTAATCTCACGAAGGCAGACCTCTTTCTCCATCTCTCCTGAGCTGCCCCTGTGTTGTGTGGGTGAGTGTTTTCAGAAATATATAATGGGGGTGTCCAGCTGGTGTGAGTTGATAGAGCTCTCAAAATGAGCAGCGTTGAAAGACCCCCAGCTGAGAAGGCAGGCGCTTGACGATTAACAGAAATAAAAGGTCGCCATCGCCATCTGGGAACTCCCGCTAAGGAGACAATGAAGGCAGGACATTGCAGGGCTCGGCAGAATTAAGTGTTTTAAACTGATTTTAATATTGTATTTTCATTTGGTGATAAGATGCCCTGGGAACCTCTAGTGAAGGGCAAGTACGAAAGGCAATGACCATTTGTCGCTTCTTATTAATCAGGTCTGACCACAGGGCATGCCTTGGGGAAGGAGGCAAAGTCTACCTTTCATACAGCAAAACAACACCACCACACACTGGCTTATAAGTATAAAACCAAATTTACTAGAATAGCAGCTAGAATATAGATAGACATAACCATTCAAACAACAAACATACTGTACTAAGGTGCCATGTGCAAGACAAAGCCTGGAGATACTGTAAACATGGAGTGGATAAATGTACAACTCTATCTTAACAACCAAGACAGCATCTTAAAAAGCAGAGACATCACCTTGCCAACAAAGGTCCGTATAGTTAAAGCTATGGTTTTCCCAGTAGTGATGTATGGAAGTGAGAGCTGGACCATAAAGAAGGCTGATCGCCGAAGAATGGATGCTTTTGAATTCTGGTGCTGGAGGAGACTCTTGAGAGTCCCATGGACTGCAGGAAGATCAAAACTATCCATTCTGAAGGAAATCAGCCCTGAGTGCTCACTGGAAGGACAGATCCTGAAGCTGAGGCTCCAATACTTTGGCCACCTCATGAGAAGAGAAGACTGCCTGGAAAAGACCCTGATGTTGGGAAAGATGGAGGGCACAAGGAGAAGGGGACGACAGAGGACAAGATGGTTGGACAGTGTTCTCGAAGCTACTAACATGAGTTTGACCAAACTGCGGGAGGCAGTAGAAGACAGGAGTGCCTGGAGTGCTCTGGTCCATGGGGTCACGAAGAGTCGGACACGACTAAACAACAACAAATCTTTGCAAGTTACATGTGCAGTAAACGTTATACAGACTGAATAAACAAACAAACCGTTCAACAAGAGCGTACGCCTTGATTTGCCTTCCCGTGATTGATCCATGCATACAGCTTTGTGTTTCCAATTCAAGACCCATTGAAGAACATCTCATCCAGTTCAATATTTGAAAAACAGCTTTGAAAAACTTTTTCATATTCTCCAGTGTGCTACCCTTGCCGTTGTGGCAGCACGGGGTTTCCGTTCTGTGATTGGACTTACGCTGCTTGTTGAACGGCTCATTTATCCAGTCTGTATAACGTTTACTGCACATGTAACTTGTTAAGATAGAGTTGTACATTTATCCACTCCGTGTTTACAGTATCTCCAGGCTTTGTCTTGCACATGGCACCTTAGTACGTTTGTTGTTTGAATGGTTACAAGTCTATCTCTATTCTAGCTATTATTCTAGTAAATTTGGTTTTATACTTATAAGCCAGTTTGTGGTGTTGTTGTTTTGTTGTATTATTATTGGTGTCACCACATTTGATACTTTGTGTATATACTACCTTTCATACAGACCACCCCAGATGTCAGTCCCAACTGTCCTCTCCAAGTGGGGCTGGAAGAGGTTCCTTGCCTGAAATCCTTGAGAGTTGTCGCCCATCAGAATATTGAGCTAGATGTACCAATTGTCTAACTCAGTTTAAGCTTCCCATGTTCCTAAAATGTAATTTAGAGTGATGCTACTTTCTCACGTAAGAGATATGGTTCCTTTTAAGAGACACTGACCCAATTTTGCTTGCTGGCCCCTGAGATCAAAGAGAAGTTTTTTGCCTATGTTTGGATACAGCTGGACGCCATTTTGAATCAAGATGGCAGACCAAACCATTAAAAACACTGCATTTTTTGTTTCTTCAAGCAATGCTAAGGTATGAGGCTGCTAGTTAGAGATAAACTGGACTGGCCTTTGTGTTTTATCTGCCCCTGAATTGACTAATGTCTTTTACGCCAGCGTAAAAACCAAGCACAATGAAATAAAGAAGGAGAAACAACCAGACCCGTCTATTGAGATTCTTACAAAGTTTTTAAATCCATAGATTTCTAATGTCAAAATCAAGTTGTAGGAGCGCGGAGGAGTCCAGGTGGGCTGCGTTTCAGAAAGGCAACAGGCCGTCGTTCCTCCACGTCAAGTAGTGAGCGAAGCCTTGCACGATTCTGTTGACGTTGTGCTCGCCCAGAAACGCCAGGAGAGTCTCCGCCATGAATTCATGGTTGAAAAAATAGGTGTAGCATAAGGCCAGGGTCAGCAGGAGAACGCAGCCGAGCACCAAGACACTCAGGACTTTGCCCACCTGCCAGAACCAGTACATGGCTTTCCTGCTTTTTGACTGCTGCAAGGCAACATCCACCAGTTTGGCCTCCACGATTTCGTGCATTAGCGAGCCGATCTGCACCCTGTTTTCCTGGTCCAACCTCAAGATGGTGGCCTGCTGCACGCAGGTCTCCAGCTGGGACTGCAGATCTTTGATGTCGTTCCTCTGGCTCTGGCGGAGTTGAAGAAGCACCCCGACTTTTTCCCTCAGCTGGGAGGAATTGTTCTTCTCCGCTTGATAGTGATGCTCGGTCTCCTGTAGCCTATCTTCCAGGCTTTTCAGGTATTTTTTGACTTCCACCGACAGGTTCTGCATCTCTCGAAGGTCCTTCTCCTGAGCGGCTTTGTAGTCTTCGAAAAGGGCCACCTGGGAGGTCACCTCACGGAGTTCCTTGCTGAGCTCTGCGTTCGCTTTCGCCAAGGCCTTGTTCTGGGCATCCAGTTCGTGGATCCTCGCGTTGGTGTGGTCCATCTTCTCTCTGATGTCCTCCACCTTCTTCTGCATCTCCTCCATGGCGGCCTTGAATCTGTCCGCTGTCTCTTGCAAGCTCCGGTTGTGGCCCTTGATGGTGCTGTTGTCCTTGAGCAGGGCCTGGTTCTCAGAATCAAGGTAGGCCACCGTCTCTGTCAGGTCATTAATTTGGTAGCGGAGCTTTTCGTTCGTCGTCGACAGTTCCTCCATCCTCAGCGACATGGTGAAGATGTTTCGTTCAGAGCTGGCGACCCTATGAGAAGATCAAAAAGGTAAAGGTAAAGGGACCCCTGACAGTAAAGTCTAGTTGCGAACGACTCTGGGGTTGCGGTGCTCATCTCGCTTTATAGGCCGAGGGAGCCGACGTTTGTCCACAGTTTTTCCAGGTCATGTGGCCAGCAGGACTAAACCACTTCTGGCGAAACCAGAGCAGCACATTTAATTATTTAAATTGTATACCGCCCTATCCATACAAGCAAGTCTCAGGGCAGTTCACAACATAAAAACACAAAACATATAATAAAAATTAAAAACAAAACATCTCACTAATCTCCCTCCCCAACACATTATAAAAGGGCACTGGATGCTGCAAATTTCTCATTATTTTAAATTTTGCTGCCCACCCATTTTGTTGTTTGTTTGAAAGAAAGGCATTCTATGAATCTCTGCTTACTCAAATCCTACTTCAAAGCACTGGTCCCATGCTAAGGCTCCTTCCTTTTGGATTTTGAGGTACCTCCTGAAGTCATTTGAATGTGATCAGGCTCATGCAACTCATTTTTGTTTTGTTTTAATGGTTTTGCACTGTTTTTATGGCGTTTTATGTCTCATTGCCTATGCTGCTGCACGTCATCATGTTGCTTTGCTTGAGTTGGCGGTGCGTAAATACTTTTATAAATAAAGAAGATATTGCAGAGAGAGAGAGAGAGAGAGAGAGAGAGAGAGAGAGAGAGAGAGAGAGAGTTATGTTAAGAGGAAGAGAGGAAGCAGTTAATGATGAACGGCTTGACAGCAAAAGGGCCCCTCAAACAGATTAAAGGGACAGAACGATTCTAATTTTGAGCCTCTTATATGAAGACAGCTAAGCCCCAGAGGGGGAAATGACAGAGATTTATTCCAGCCAAAGGAGTGCCTAATAGCTGATCATCATGATAAATATTCATGCCCAGCTGGGAGCCTTGTGCCTTCAATTCTTCACCCATATGCACTGAAGCTTGGAGCAAGCATTCAGCAGCAAAACAGATCAGGACCCTGGTCAGCTCCCAGTGGGTTCTCATAGCTGAGCCAGGGAAGATGTTGTCTCAGCCAGAGTCACCTGAAGGCTGGTGAGGTTGTTTCTTCCAAAGACTTCACCACCTTAGGAGGGGGGTCTGCAGTCTTAAAGGGCCCATAGCCAATTCTATGGGAAATAATAATGGTTTTGACCTTTAAAGCCCTATGCGGCCTAGGACTCTTGGACCTACAGGACCGCCTCTCTTGGTATGCCCCGAGGAGGACTTTAAGGTCCACAAATGACAACACTTTGGGGGTCCTGAGCCTCAAGGAGGTTAGATTGGTCTCAACTAAGGCCAGGGCCTTTTCAGCACTGGCCCCGACTTGGTGGAACGCTCTGTCACAAGAGACCAGGGCCCTGCGGGATTTGACATCTTTCTGCAGGGCCTGCAAGATGGAGCTGTTCCGCCTGGCCTTTGGTTTGGACTCACTCTGACCCCTCACTGTACATGGGATTTAGTATATAAATTTTCCCTTGGCTTTTTTGCTTGCCCATATAGGACCAGCATGGATAGCTGGCTCAGGTGAATATCTGATGTTTCCTCCCTTTATGGTCTTGATTAATGCGCTACTACTAAAACGAGGCTGCATTTTAAGCTGTATTTTAAGCCACATTTTAATTGTTTTTTTCTTTTTTCTATTATGTTTTATTGTAATTTAAATTTGGTGTTAGCCGCCCTGAGGCCGGCCCTGGCCGGGAGGGCGGGGTATAAATAAAATTATTATCATCATTATCATTATCATTATCATTATCATGTTGTTGTTGTTGTTAATTAATTAAATTTGTATACTGCCCTATAAAGGTAAAAGGTAAAGGACTCCTGGATGGTTAAGTCCAGTAAAAGGTGACTATAAGGTTGTGGCGCTCACCTCACTTTCAGGCCGAGGGAGCTGGCATTTGTGAGCTCCCGTTGCTCAGTCCCTGCTCCTGCCAACCTAGCAGTTCGAAAGCACACCAGTGCAAGTAGATAAATAGGCGGGAAGGTAAACGGCGTTTCTGTGCGCTGCTCTAGTTCGCCACAAAGCGGCTTAGTCCTGCTGGCCACAGGACCCGGAAGCTGTACGCCGGCTCCCTCGGCCAATAAAGCAAGATGAGTGCCGCAACCCCAGAGTCGGTCACGACTGGACATAACGGTTGGGGTCCCTTTACCTTTACCTTTAGACCCATTGAAATTAACAAACATGACTACAACACCATGCATTTAAAGCACTATTCTAGCACTTTCACAGCCATGGAGCAGCCTGGGAACTGTAGTTCGCGAAGCGTGCTGACCTCCTAGAGCTGCCATGCACAGCCCTCTTAAGAAACTACAGTTCCCATGATTCCCCTTGCCTGTTAAAGTGGCAGAATAACCCTTTAACTGTGTTTTGTGGATGACACCATGGTTAGGCCCATTCATTCCAATAGGTCTACTCTGAGTAAATTTAATGCCACGCCTACAGCCAAAATTGTGCCCCCCCATCACAATTAGGGTTAGAAAAAGGTTAAAGGTAAAGATAAAGGGATCCCTGACCATTAGGTCCATTTGCGGACGACTCTGCGGTTGCGGTGCTCATCTCATTTTACTGGCCAAGGGAGCCAGTGTACAGCTTCCGGGTCATGTGGCCAGCATGACTAAGCCGCTTCTGGAGAACCAAAGCAGCGCACGGAAACGCCGTTTACCTTCCCACTGGAGCGGTACCTATTTATCTACTTGCACTTTGATGTGCTTTCGAACTGCTAGGTTGGCAGGAGCAGGGACCAAGCAACGGGAGCTCAGCCCGTCGCGGGGATTCGAACCGCCAACCTTCTAATTGGCAAGTCCTAGGCTCTGTGGTTTAACCCAAAGCGCCACCCGCGCCCCAAAGGTTATGTTTGTATAAATGGGACCTTGATTCCTGCTCACAGGGGAGATTTTGCAGGAAGACTGCATATGCCCACTTTAATAACATAACACCTTTTCAGCGCCTGCTCCTGAGCGTAGCTGTTATTTTAATGAATGGGGAGTTGCTTATTCAAGTAAACCTAGGTTTCAAAATCCATTCTCGTATATATGTAACAAATGACTTTGCCTGCACATGTTTAAGGCAAAAGCGCCCCCTACTGGTGCATGTATAGTACTGCAGAAGGTTTTCCAAGACTCACTCTGTCTTCCTGGGACTCACGAAATTTGCACCAGCGGGGAGAGAGAAACTGTTTTCCTCAGGAAAAATGGGGAGGAGCGTTGGAGGATCAAGCTTTCTTTACGGAGCCTGAAGAATGGAAACAAAGGGGTTTTTTAAAAGCCTGCCTGAGTGCTTTGCCCGTGCTCCGATGTTCTATTGATTCCACACATAAAAAATAAAAAGATTTTCTTGGTTTGCAAAAGTATGTGTGTTCTCTTCCCACCCCCACCAAGTTGTAGAATCTTTTCTACAAATCAGTTACATTTGATGTGAGACATTACTGTTGTAAATGGTATAATGTTGCCCCTTCTGACCGCAGCACTAATAATAATAATAATAATAATAATAATAATAATAATAATAATAATAATTTATTATTTATACCCTGCCCATCTGGCTGAGTTTCCTCAGCCATTCTGGGCAGCCCAAAATCGAGTGATAAAAACAATACAGCATTAAATATTAAAAACTTCCCTAAACAGGGCTGCCTTCAGATGTCTTTTAAAGATAGGGTAGCTGCTTATTTCCTTCACATCTGAAGGGAGGGTGTTCCACGGGGCGGGTGCCACCACCGAGAAGGCCCTCTGTCTGGTTCCCTGTAACCTCACTTCTCGCAATGAGGGAACCGCCAGAAGGCCCTCGGCGCTGGACCTCAGTGTCTGGGTTGAACAATGTTTGGAAATGTCCCACTATCCAAATGCTTAAAATTCATTTAACCAGACTCAAGGAATCAGTTCCCAAACCTCATTAAACACACCACAGATTGAGATATCCAAACAGCCGGACCTGTTTTTTCCTTGTTTGCCTTTTGGAAGGTTTCGGAGGGTTTTCCTGGGTTAGAAATTTCCCCATAGAAATAAACGGAAGTGATTGACTCACCTAAACGAACAATTTCCGGAGAATGCATTGTGTCTGGGAAGTATTGCTTCCTCAGCGCAAGAACTACAGTTCCCAGAAATTATTTTTTTTGGGGGGGAGTCATGCCTTGGATGTGTGTTCAATACATGGCATGAATCCAGTTTCGCCAATCTAAATAGGCACATCTCAGATGTTGAGGTCTAATTCCAAAGCTGAAAATTGAAACGGCGAATCCTGCGGTCACCCCCAGTGGTTGGATGGCCATGTTTCATGTATGACCTAGCTGAGATTCCTGCAGTGCAAGGGGTTGGACTAGATGACCCTCGGGGTCCCCGCAAACTCCACAATTCTTTGATTTTTAGTATTTAGCCAGGCTTGGGCATTTTGCGAAATTTCATCCTTGCACGAATTCCCCACCCCTGACCTCGAACCCTCAGCCTCCGTTCTGGAGATGCTATACCTGTGTGACTCAGCCGCAGGTGCGTGGGCTAGCAAGAGAATTTGGCACTGCCATGGCGCCCCGGTCGGACTCCTCCCTGGCTGGTCGTGATGAGGATCTTTCTGGCCTAGCACCCTAATTCTGCCCTCACTGCGTTGTCCATTGCAACTTCCCTCACTCCCCTGCTTTCCGCTTTCAGATATTCGGCATTTTTTGGCCTTCAAGCCCAAAAACACGGGTAGAAAACACACCCCTCTTTCCTATATCGCCGGCTGCCAGCTCCTCGTTTGTTTCCATCCAGCTGTTTTTAATTCCCGTGCCAGGAAGGTAGAAATCACTCATTGTGTTGTCATTCGTCATGGCAACGCCTCGGCCAATAGCATCAGCGGGGAGGCAGGGTGATGTCACAAACCTTGGCTCTGATTGGACTCTTGAATTCCACTTTCTTGAAAGGTTCTTTGAATGCCACTTTGAGAACTTGCCACTGCATTTTGGGCGTGTGTTCATGGAGGAGTGGGGAGGTGGTCATGGGAGAAGCAGGTATCTTTCCCCTCTAGGCCCTTAGCCTAGTGGGTAGGGTATCTGTCTAGTGTGCAGAAGGCCTCAGGTTTGATCCCCAGCTTATCCAGGTGGAGTTATAGATTTGGTTGGCCTTCTGCCATGTCCAGAGAAGAGGAGGTTCTCCTAGATGGAACAAGAAGAAAAGGGTGGACAGGCAGGAGGAGAAACCGCCGTAAAGTCAAGGAAACAAGTCACTTCTGGTGGTTCCCAGCACAGCTCCTGGGGTTCTGCTGACCATCATCAAGGACCGAGCCTTTAACGTGGCAGACCCTGCCCTGTGGAACTCCCTGCCTCTTGAGGTTCGGGGAGAACCTGTTAGGATTCTTCCTCCGTGTTTGCAGTCATGAGATTGTCTATCACATGACGGTGTGTGTTTTCATTCCACAGTGTGGGAAGTGACGGAGACAGGATGTTTGGTATTACTGTGTTTCCGTGAAGTGGGACTATTGTCCTTTGTTCTTTCTCTCTTTGCTGTCTGATGAGAAAGAGGAAGGAGCTAAGTCAGAATGCTCCGAGTGTATTATATGTAAATAAAGTAGATTAGCCAAGATGCTGAGCTATGTTACGCGAACCGCCAATGCTCTGCAGGTTCCTAAGTGTGCTGATGCTTCTTGGCATCAGTCGCTGTGATGTTCAGGGCGAAGAAAGCTTTTGAAGCTCCCAAACGACAGACCAGGAGGGAGAGAACTTGCCAGCTGGGCATGTGTCTCTGCGAAGGTCCTACTTGTGAGTAGGACGATCCTAACAGAACCATCTCTCCATTCGTTCATCCCTTGAAGACTCTCTAGAATGGAGAGGCATCTGCAGTGTGAATTTTCTTCTTTTAATCTGGTTGTAATAATAATTTATTATTTATACCCCGCCCATCTGGCTGGGTTTCCCCAGCCACTCTGGGCGGCTTCCAACAAAATATTAAAAACACAATAAAACACCAGACATTAAAAACTTCCCTAAACAGGGCTGCCTTCAGATGTCTTCTAAAAGTCAGATAGTTGTTTATTTCCTTGACATCTGATGGGAGGGCGTTCCACAGGGCAGGTGCCACCTCTGAGAAGGCCCTGTAACCTCACTTCTCTCAGGGAGGGAACTGCCAGAAGGCCCTCGGAGCTGGACCTCAGTGTCCGGGCTGAACAATGGGGTGGAGATGCTCCTTCAGGCATCCTGGGCCGCGGCCGTTGAGGGCTTTCAAGGTCAGCACCAACACTTTGAATTGTGCTTGGAAACATACCAGGAGCCAAGATAGGCTTTCAGGACCAGTGTTATGTGATCTCGGCAGCTGCTTCCAGTCACTGATCAGAACCCTTCCTTGTACCTTAAATGGAGTTGTTTTTCACTTTTAACAGCCAGCCGTTAGGTCCCATCCCCTCAGTTTTGCAGTCAGGCTTCACTGATCAAGGGTAATGAAATATACTCAGAGTCGCATAGTGATTTCACACTCTTTATTGCAGCTCGTAAAACAGTGAAAAATTCCCCCCCAAAACCTCAGGCTTTATATACATTATTTACACAATAGGTCCTATCTGATTGGCTGATTCTGCTTCCCTCCTGGAGCCTGATTGGGCTGCTAATGCAGGCCAATCAGGTTGTTGCATTCTACGATGCTACCTGCCTATTGTTCTAGGATCCAAGCTCAATACATAACAGGTAAGAGAAATTCCACCTCATTGGGGGAGTAATGGCATTGTCACAACATGCCCATTGGGGTGAATGAAATTTAGCCAGGTGTCGTCGTCGTCTTTGGCAATCCCTCGTAGCCGAGTAAGATTGTCTTCCATAAACACAGTTTTAACAATGAGTCCGTAAGTGACTGTGGAGGCCAATTCTGGATCCACACATCCTTCCACAGTGGGGACATTGGTTTCCAGGCGGGAGTTGATCACGGTGTGGATTTGCCAAGCGTGCCTTCCTCTTAGCATGTTTCTCCCTTTCGTCCTGAGTTCGAGCGTCTTCAAAGCCCATGACACCTTTGGTAAAGGCTGTTCTCCAACTGGAGCGCTCGCAGGCCAGTGTTTCCCAGTTGTCGGTGCTTATGCTATATTTTTAAAGATTTGCCTTGAGAGAGTCTTTAAACCTCTTTAGTTGACCACCAGCATTACGCATTCCATTTTTAAGTTCGTAATAGAGTAGTTAGGGACGCGGGTGGCGCTGTGGGTAAAAGCCTCAGCGCCTAGGGCTTGCCGATCGAAAGGTCGGCGGTTTGAATCCCCGCAGCGGGGTGCGCTCCCGTTGTTCGGTCCCAGCGCCTGCCAACCTAGCAGTTCGAAAGCACCCCCAGGTGCAGGTAGATAAATAGGGACCGCTTACTAGCGGGAAGGTAAACGGCGTTTCCGTGTGCGGCTCTGGCTTGCTAGAGCAGCGATGTCGCGCTGGCCACGTGACCCGGAAGTGTCTCCGGACAGCGCTGGCCCCCGGCCTCTTGAGTGAGATGGGCGCACAACCCTAGAGTCTGTCAAGACTGGCCCATACGGGCAGGGGTACCTTAATAGAGTAGTTGCTTTGGAAAACAATCATCAGGCATCTGCACAACATGACCAGTCCAACAAAGTCGATATTGAAGAATCATTGCTTCAACACGGGTGATCTTTGCTTCATCCAGCACAGTGGTACCTCGGGATGCGAACGGGATCCGTTCTGGAGCCCCATTCGCATCCTGAATGGAACGTAAGACATGACGGCGCGTCTGCGCATGTGCAGGTCATGTTTTGCTGCTTCCGCACATGCGCCTGATGTCATTTTGAGCATCTGTGCATGCAAGAGTGGCGAAACCCGGAAGTAACGCGCTCCGTTACTTCTGGGTTGCCGCAGAGCGCAACCCGAAAGCGCTCAACCTGAAGCACATTCAACCTGAGGTATGACTGTACATTGGTATTAGTTCGCCTGTCTTCCCAAGTGATGTGTAAAAATTTTCGGAGACACCATTGATGGAATCTTTTGAGGAGCTGGAGATGGCGTTTATAAGTGGTCCATGTTTCACAAGCATACAACCAGGGTGGCTGATCTGGGTAGAAATAAATGAGCTCCCCATCACAAGAAAAGAGTTTCAAAGCTTTACTGCAAACAGTCTTAAACAAGTTACAAAACAAACGTTGGAAGAATACAAAGTAACACATTGCTCTTTAACAAGCCAGCAACGCAGTCCGGTCTTCTTTTTAATCCTGTTCAATAAACTTTCCTCTCTCTGGTGCCAGTGAGAGATCCCACGCAAGCGTCGCTGAGCCGAGCCACGACTGCTGATGGCGCCAACGACTGATTTAGATGCTGAGTTTTCAGGTTTAATTTCATGCTGCGAGAGATCTCTATTTGGGCTTCTGGGATGAGTCGTCAATTAACCTGAAACGGAAACAGCCACCCTTCCCCATGGCTGTCCTTGAGACAAAGAACAGCTGGACATATAAAGGGCCCCATTGCCTTCAGGAGCTGAGGGCCTCATCAAACCTAAATCCGGCCCTGAACAGGAAAGGAGATTCTGACTAAACCTTAGCCAGAACTTTCTGACAGTAGGAGCCATAGCTGTCAAGCGTCCCTTATTTGGCGGGACAGTCCCTTACCCCAGCACCACGTCCCGCTGCTGTCCCTTTATTGATGATGTCCCTTAAATTTCCCAGGTTTCAAAGGAAGCAGCTCCTCTCCCTCCCTCCCTGCCGGCCAGGGAGGAGGGAGGCTCCAACTGTGTTGCTTGGCTGCATTGCTCACCCAATAAGGAGTCTAAGAACGACTGGGGGGTGGAGCTTGCATGCCTTGTGCCTATCAAATCGGCTGCGTTGCCTGGGGACTCACTTTGCTCAGCGCTTCCCAGCGGAGAGGTGACGGTGGTTTTCCTTGAGGCTTCGTTTGGCTGCTGGCTGGGCTTTCTGCCTTTGGCTCAGAGGGGCTCAGAAGTTGAATGTACCTTTGCTGAGTGCTCGGATCGGAATCGGATGGATACGTCATCGACAGCCCACTCACCCTTACTGGCAAAAAGGTCTCTCTGGAGTGGGGGCACATGGTGGGGGAAAAGGAAAGGAGATCTCGTGGGAGGGGGGGCTTTTGAATTTGTTTTGGAGGCTCCTTCAATTGACTTATGGGGGAAAAGAAAGGAGCTGGTTGACTAAAATGGTGGGTGACTGGCGATCTCGTGGCGAGGGGGGGAGGCTGTGTGTGTGTGGCTAGTTAATGCAAGCTGAGGGGATTTTTGAATGCTGGACGCCATTTTGTTGCACGTGCTGCTGCAAACTTTGCAGTGCAAAGCCAGGCCAGGGAGCCATCTTAAGTTGAGGCTGCATAGGCCTTGTGGTGCATGTGGTTCAGATTCTATTCAGTTGAACCTCTGGTTACAAAGTTGGTTGGACAGTGTTCTTGAAGCGACCAGCATGAATTTGACCAGACTGCAGGAGGACAGAAAGACTGGAGTGCCTGGAACAGGTGAGGCTGCAGCTCCCTTATTTTGGCTGCTGATCCCTTATTTTCAAGGCTGCTGGTCCCTTATTTTCAAATCTGTAAGTTGACAGCTATGGTAGGAGCTGTTTAACCATGGAAGGAACACCCTTAAAAGCTGGCGGACTCTCCTTCCTTGGAGGTTTTAAACCAGTGTTTCCCAAAGTTGGGTCTCCAGCTGCTTTCAGACTACAATTCCCACCATCCCTGACCTAGCTGGTCTTCCTAGCTAGGGACGATGGGAGTTGTAGTCCAAAAACGGCTGGAGACTCAACTGTGGGAAACACTGGTTTAAACAGAGGGTGGTCGGCCATCTGTCAGGGGTTCTTTCGCTGTGATTGAAGGGGGTTGGACTAGATGACCCTTGGGGTCCCTTCTAACTCTAATTGTATTCTATGATTTTGCCCGACCTGCAATTGCCAGCAGCTGGCATTCAGATGCATATGAACAGAGCCACCATGGTTGGTAGCCATTGGTAGCCCTCTCCTCCTCATGAATTTGCCCAGTCCTCTTTTAAAGTCATCCAGGTTGGGGGCCATCACTACATCATGTGGGAGGGAGTTCCATAGCTTTAACTGTGTGAAAGAAGTACTTTCTTTGATTTGTCCTGATTCCTCCAAATTTCGGCTTCATTGGGCGACCCCGAGTTCTCGTGTGACGAGTGGGAACGGAGAAACGTTTCTCTATCCATTTTTGTCCATGCCAGGTATATTCACCCGCAAAGGCCAAGTCATTGTTGGCTCACACTGCCTCCGTCAAATCTGATTGGCCAAAAGGTTCCCACGGCGATAATGCAAAGAGTCATTTCCCCACCATCCCCTCTGCTCCTGACATGTCCGCTCTGGGGTTGGGGGTGGAGGGATCATTAAGAACAGCTGCGTGAACGAGATCAAGCAGAAGAACACCTGGCAGCTGGCAAGAAAGGGGTTTGTTCCGTAGCTTAATATAAGGCGGGTGCCGTCCTTGAATCACAGAGGAGCGGAAGAAACCTGGACCCCCTTAGAAGCCCATGGTTTGGCTGAAATTGTACGGTGCTAGGGGATGGGGTTTTCTTAAGCCCACCCAGTGGTGTAGCATCCTTTGCTGGTGCCCGGGACACCTACACATGCACCAGGTGGGACCAGGAGCTGGGCAGAGAGAGGGAACAAAACCCACCATGCCAGCCCAACTCTCACAGGGCTGGCGTTAGTTCACGGGGCCACAGAAAAGTCCCTGTGATCACACAGGGTCCCCGGACGTTTCACCATCTATTGATCCCTGTGCCACCACTTTATTTCTCGCTGCCACCACCCAGGCCCTACCTGGTACAATACTGAGTCCCGTCAGGGTTAAATTGGAACATAAACTTCTGTTTATTTATTGCAGTTTAACAAGCGTGTGGTTTCATAAACGGTATCGGTGAATTACAATCATGGGGTGCCTATCCAGACCTGTAACTTCCACTACCTGCTCTCCCTCACTAAACCACCTCTCAGATATTGACTTGTCTTCCTAGCTCCTAACTGTTCCTGACTCAGCTTTTTTTGCAACACTAAGTCAACCTACCCAGTGGCGTAGCGTGGGGGGTGCAGCGGGGGCCGGCCGCACCGGGTGCAACATCTGGGGGTTAGGGTTAGGGGGCGCAAATCCACGGGTTAGGGGACGCAAATTACTTGCCTTGCCCCGGGTGCTGACAACCCACGCTACGCCACTGAACCTACCCACAAACTCTATCCCAATTCACTCCCACTCCAACCAACCACCCAGCTCCTAACGAACTCCCGCCTTCGCTCCTCCCAGAGCTGGTTTTATAGTCCCTCTGACTCCACCCCCTGGGTCTCTGCTCCTTTGCTGGCACCCGGGACACCCAAACATGCACCAGGGGGGACAGAGGGGGGACAAAACCCACCACGCCAGCCCAACTCTCACAGGGCTGGCATTAGACACGGAGGGTTCATGGGGCCACACTACATTGCCCACCTGCCCATCGGTGCAAGGGGGAGACCGGCCAACTGATGCAGTCCTTGGCAGGTGACCCTCCCCAACACTGGCCAGGCAGCTATTCAACAAGGGGGGCAGGGGCATGGCGGCCTGGCCCCGGGCTCTGGGGCCCAGAGACCCCCAGCGGCAGGCAGGGCAGGGATCCCTGTGTGGGGTACCCAACTCGCGCTCCTCAAAATAATGCTCCTGGGGTTATGGCCCTCCTATGGCCTCCCCACGCTATGCCCCTGAGCCCACCCCATAACTTTCCTTGTATATTTCAGTCACTGGGTGGGGAGTAGGCAGAAAGAACAAAACAAATAGGCACAGGTTGCTCAAACAGCAGTATCTAACAAATGGGGAACAGGTGCTGTCCAGAATGGTGTTGGACTACAAGTCCCATCAGCCCCTGCCAGCAGATGGCAGCGGTCAGAGATGATAGGAGTCTCAGCCCAGCAGGAGTGGGGAATCTGTGGCCATCCGGATTTGTTGCTTTCATTTATTTATAGCATTTATAAACAGATTAACAGTTCCAAAATGTATTTGGACTACAACTCCCATTACCCCTGACCATTGGCCAAGTCTAGTACATGAATAAAAATAATTTCGCCCCCTATTTGTATTCAGAGAAGGCCGCCACCGAACGGACAATATCCGCAAGAAGCAGCTGTCTGTAGCCAGCCGGGGACGCCACAACGAAACCTAATCCACAATCTCAGAGGCAGCGGGGGCATATTCGATCTGGTTCGCCTCGATCAGGAGAAACGAAATTTGTGCTGGAAAAAGTTTTAACAGGAAAAGAACAAGAGGAAGGAGGGAACCCCGATATATCAAGAAGATGAGCCAGAATTTGCAAGACACTCTTGAGAAGTTTCGGAACGTGATGGAAGAAATGGAGCGGAAAGTGGCGGCCATGCGGGAAAGGACGGAGGAAGCTTACAGAAAAATCAACGAGCTGGAAGAGCAGAAATATTCGCTGATTGACTCCAGCGAGCAGCTGAGCAGGGAACTTCACAAATTGTCCTACCAAGTGGCCCTCTTTGAGACCCAGAAAAACCCTCAAGAAAAGATCTATCAGACTCCCAGGCCGAAGGGAAATTTTGCCGTTGAGAAATGAACAGGAGACAAAAGAATGGCAAAAATTTTTTTTTGCTAATGATCGCAACCAACAGCGTGAATTAAAAAAAATGACACAAACGTGTTGGTTGTCCCACTTTTTAAAATAGCTCAAGGGTCCCCGTCCTCAAGAAAAGACCAGGGGACATAGGGGGCCTGTATGTAGGTTTTATTTGTTTTTTATCTTTATTTTGTAAATGTACATCCAGTTTATTTTTCCTTTAATTTTTTTGTGGGCCCCCAAGAGAGTGGGGCCCTAAGCTGTAGCTTGTTTAGCTTATATGTAAATCCAGCACTGTTCCTGTCATTTGAATTCATTGGCCCAGGTCCTTGCTTCTGGAGAGGAGGAATGCAAGCTTGCATTTTCTGCCAGATATTTGAAGATGGGTATCACATCGCCTCGCAGTCACCTCTTTTCCAGGCTAAACTTCCCCTTCTCCCTCAACCGTTCCTCATCAGGCTTCCAGATCCTTGATCATCTTGGTTGCCCTCCTCTGAACACCTTCCAGCTTGTCAGTGTTCTCCTAAAACTGAAGCCCAGAACACGGGTGTTGTGGTGCTCAGGTTCTACTTTTGAGCTGGTGGACTTGTAAAAGGGGTAAAAGATTATTAGGAAATAATTTCTAATGAATTGAAAAAATATATATTTAAAAGTACTTTCCCCAAAATCCAGAGTCCTTTTCGTTGGGAATAATTCAGACAGAAATTCCCAGCATAGCTGTCAACGTTTCCCCCTTTTTAAGGGAAATTCCCTTATTCTGAATAGGATTCCTCGCAAGAAAAGGGAAAAGTTGACAGCTATGATTCCCAGGTGTCAAAAAAAGGTTATTTATGTATTTATGTATGCCACTACTGCGGTCTGTGTTTTGTTAACCCCAAAATGGAAAACAAGTGAGGTCTCAACCAAACTTAAACTGATGGAATATGCGCAGCTTACAGACCTAACATATAGAATAAGAGGTCAAGAAAAACATACATTTAGAGAAGATTGGAAAACGTTTATTGAATATATGGGGGATATTTGAGAAAATGGGCAGCATTAAGATAAATTCAGCAGTGTAAATAAGTTTTGATGGATGTAATAATGGAATACTCAAGGGTTTAGTTTATATAAAATATGCAGGGATTTATGTTAGGCAAAATGAACCATGGAAAGAGAAGAAGGGAAGTTGCTGATATTTTAAGGTGGTTTAAATGGATATTCTAAAATGTGAAACAGAAAATTTAATAAAAAATTATGGGGGGGGCAGGGAAAGGTTCTGCTTTTGAGCTTTCCAGTTGGCTACTGTGAGAACAGGATCCTGGACTTCTTAGCTTAGCAGACTCATTAATCTGCCTTCTCAGGGAAGTGCCACCCCGAATGATCAATGAAGATGAATGATGGGGCTTTCAAATTGCTCATCTATTGATTGCCCCCTCCTTCTACTTGCTCCCCTCTCACTTTTCAAAAATCCATCCTTAGTTATCAAGAACCATCCTGCAGGCAGTTAATCCTTTTGTGAATACAGTGCTACCTCGGGTTACAGACGCTTCAGGTTACAGACTCCGCTAACCCAGAAATATTACCTTGGGTTAAGAACTTTACCTCAGGATGAGAACAGAAATCGCACGGTCGCAGCGGGAGGCCCCATTAGCTAAAGTGGTATCTCAGGTTAAGAAAAGTTTCAGGTTAAGAACGGACCTCCAGAACGAATTAAGTTCTTAACCCGAGGTACCACTGTATGTGTGTGTGTGTGTGTGTGTGCGCGCGCGCGCCTGAACCCTTTCCCCCTACAAATTCCCACCCCAGGACCAGAGCATCACACCTGCTCCCCATAAAGGCTCATTGCAGCCACCCATCTGCCTTCTCCCCTCCATTTGTCTTGTCCAATGGACAGTCGTATCTGGGGTTAAGCCAGAAGAAGGCAAGATTTCATGGCAATAAATCACGGAGGGAGAAAATATCACTGTGGATCATAAACGGTAAATCTGGCGCTTTAATTAAACAGTTGGTTAATTGACGAAAACACTTCTGACTACAGTGGTACCTCGGGTTAATTACTTAATTCGTTCCGGAGGTCCGTTCTTAACCTGAAACTGTTCTTAACCTGAAGCACCACTTTAGCTAATGGGGTCTCCCGCTGCCGCCGGAGCACGATTTCTGTTCTCATCCTGAAGCAAAGTTCTTAACCCGAGGTACTATTTCTGGGTTAGCGGAGTCTGTAACCTGAAGCGTATGTAACCTGAAGTGCATGTAACCCGAGGTACCACTGTAATGAGAAAGGAACCTTTAATGATTTGGGAGAGTAAACTGTTTTCATCATTTTTTTTATAAAAAACCTCCTGCATTTCAGGGGGTTGGACTAGATGACCCTTGGGGTCCCTTCCATCTCTGCTATTCTATCATTCAATATAATTTAAATAAATAAATAGCAAAGGCAGCCACCTTGGCCCACAAGGGAGATTCAAAAATCAGCACGCGGGACAAGATACTTTTGGAGGGGCAACCAAAATGTCACAAAATTGTGTGCAAGCTTTTGAGTTCTACAGGAATCTTCATCAGGCTAGAGAGAGAGAGAGAGAGAGAGAGAGAGATCTTCAGAAGTATGGCTGCCTCTGACTGTGGAAGCAGATCAGAGCCATCCTGTTGTTGCAGGAATTTATGTATAGGTTGGGGGGTGTTTTGCCCCTCCAGCAGATATCATGCACATGCAGCCCACCACCAAAATCAGCACAATCACTTTTGTGACTTTTGTGATTTGTCCCCACAAAACACTTCATCACAGTTTCTTCCTATCTATTCAAAGCGCCTTTGCTGCACGATACCAAAATTAAGAATTCCCTGATAGATGTATCTATGTACTGGCTCACTGGAAAACTTCAGAAATTCATATAGACATGTGAGCTCAGCTACTCAGCAGCCCCTCTGCCTGAGTGATAATCCCTGGCATCCTGATACCTGAGTTCCAGACAGGTAGCCATTCCAGAAATAACAAACCCAGATGAAGACAAAAGGGTGTGATTAACTTGGCTGGGAAACAGGGAAATGTAAATATCTTTTGTTACCCTTGATGGGTGTTTGGTGGAGGGCAAGGAGAACCATGGGGCAGGGTCCAGGATGCTTAGATTACTGCCCCCAGACCTCCCCTTTCATGATGTAACCATGATGTATTAGTGATGTAGTTTGGGGGGGGTGTGAAGACAGGAGGGCCTGGCGTGCTCTGGTCCATGGGGTCACGAAGAGTCGGACACGACTAAATGACTAAACAACAACAACAAACATGGGGATTAGCAGCTAACAAAAGTTTAGGTTCTCTTTTGTTCGGGGCTTCCATCTTGTTCCACCTTGTGGCAGGTGGGAGTCCTGTTGCGACAGTCTTCAATAAAGACCAAGCCTACTGGCTGCTGTTTTGCTCTGGTATTCGTGGCTGGTGCCCTTGTTTTTTGTCCAAGGGAGCCCTCAGATTTCTCCGTTAACAGAACACCCTTAAAAGCTAATGGGCTCTCCTTCCTTGAGGGTTTTAAACCAGTGTTTCCCAAAGTTGGGTCTCCAGCTGCTTTCAGACTACAATTCCCATCATCCCTGACCACTGGTCTTCCTAGCTAGGGATGATGGGAGTTGTAGTCCAAAAACAGCTGGAAGCCAAACTGTGGGAAACACTGGTTTAAACAGAGGGTGGCCGGCCATCTGTCTGGGGTTCTTTCACTGTGATTGCAAGGGGTTGGACTAAATGAACCTTGGGGTCCCTTCTAACAAAAACATAAATCCAGCCCTGCACAAGCAGGATTCGAACACAAGTCCCCCTTCTCTCCTCTAGTGGTTTCCTGCAACTAGTCTTCAGAAGGATGGCTGCCTCCGACTGTATCCGACTGCCTCCAATAGTCTCCTCCTCCATGAATTTGTCCAGTTCTCCCTAAAAACTGTCTAGGTGGGTGGCCTTCACCGCTTTCTGCAGGGGCGAGTTCCAGAACTGAACAATGCGCTGTGTGAATAAACACTTTCTCAAGTCAAGTTCAGGACAGGACAGTGAGAAATGGCAGCCAGAGTCGTTACGGCCCTTAACTTCCTCTCCCTGCCAAAATGCTACACTAGTCTTTGGAGCGGTTGTTCAGGGCCAGCTCTTAGATGACGGGCATCTCACCCCTTCTGCCCTCGGATTACATAAAAGCTGCAAAAAACGAGCGCACGCCAGTCTCTCAGAGTAATCCGGCGTTTGTTTTTATATAACTCTTCTTTAAAAAAGAAAATCAACGGGTGTAAACAGAGATGAGCTGTAGCTGTTCTCATTTAGCTGTCTCTCAAAGAGCCTTTCTGGTCGTTTGCAAAAGCAAAAAAAAAAAAGTTGAAAAACGAGGCACAGCTTAGTCTTTCTTTCAAAGTGTTGGTGCTGACCTTTAAAGTCCTAAACGGTCTCGGCCCAGTAGACCTGAAGGAGCGTCTCCATCCCCATCGTTCTGCCCGGACACTGAGGTCCAGTGCTGAGGGCCTTCTGGCAGTTCCCTCACTGCAGGAAGTGAAGCTACAGGGAACCAGGCAGAGGGCCTTCTTGGTGGTGGCACCTGCCCTGTGGAACGCCCTCCCATCAGATGTCAAGGAAATAAGCAACTATCTAACTTTTAGAAGACATCTGAAGGCAACCCTGTTTAGGGAAGTTTTTAATGTTTGCTGGACTACTGTATTTTAATATTTTGTTGGA